AGCCGATCCTGGGCCCAGGCCGCTTGAGGCTTTTAATAGCAAGGGCCCAGGGGACCCTCTTGGGGGAAGCACGCAACTCGATCTGGGTTGTGTTGCGTGCTTCAACTTGTGCAGTTTGGGAGCCTTGAGCTGAGGGGTTTACGACGTCTAGGTTTCAGGCCCGTGAAGTCGTGACGCGACGGGGACGCGACTGGACAGGGTCGCTTCTCACGAGCGCCACAGGGAAGCTAGGTAGTAAAAGAGTAAAAGTGTGAGAGTGTGGCCGCTGTGGCGCATCTTCGGTTGCGATTTGCAGGATTCATGGTCAGCAGCAGTGATTACAATTTACCACGAGGTTTTTGAGAACCCGGCGCAAAACCGGCCACCTTGAGGGCGGTCGGCCGAATCCCACGACCAGTCGGTCGGAGTTGGGCTTCTGGCTAACCGGCGACCCAGATGAACAGAGTCGGTTTGGTGGACAAATACGGTGTAGAAGAGGATAACACTCGCTTTCCAGTATTCTGGGCCGTTCCAATGAGGCTCCAATCCCCCAAATCGAAGAGGTGTTGGTCTAATATGGAGCAGAGAAGCAGACGAAAACAAGTAGGTATATTCTTCCATTCAGGCGACTTCGACTATGTTTTTGACCACAAGCTCTCCACTTCAATAGTAGGACAATAAGAACACACCAAAGACTAACACTAAACCGACGCCCATAATATCAGTCGGTTTTCCGACCAACACAGGGCAGCCCCCAGTCGGTTTCTGAGGTTTCCCTCGAAATCGGTCGGTTACGTTTGGCGTTCGTGGTAAACACCGGTTTCCCTCAGGTCAGACTGGAAGGACGCTTCGCGGACCGCGGTGCGCAAGTACCGGTAGCGGCTAGCCCTAACTATTCCAAGTTTGCTCCAGTCTCGTGAGCCAATTCGTAGCCGATATGCATGATGCCATGCTCGATCAATCATTCGTAAAATCATGCACGGATTTGACCGTGAGGGCACAGTAATTAAAGGTCCCATCATTGCGGCTGATTGCTCTGTGTTTGGCGTCACTGTTACGCAGGTCTAGCGGTTTACTGACGTCATCCCAAGTCATGCACCTGGGTACGTCATTCTGAGGTAATACTCGAAGGTCCACCATGCTTGAGGCGTGGACGCGTCTACGTCCGGCGTTGGAAGCCATTAATACCGGTACGAGAGATAACTTGAAAGTTCCAGGCTCCAGCTTTCCAGGACTGTGATTGGCTGAGCCTGGAAGGCTGGAACAATATATCAGGCTTGTCAAGAGCCTCTCAGGAGCCGCCTCTTCTGATGAGCATAGAATAGGTAGACGGAGGGTAGACGGTACCGAGTCCCGCCGCTCCCGAGTCCCGACTCCCTTGCAAGGTTTACTCAAGTTTAACCTGCACTGCCACGTGGACCGTGGCATTCTTTTGAATTGAGTCTCCGAATCAGCTGCTCAGCCACTCACAGTGCTGAGTGCTCACTGCTCGCCCACTGAGCAATCATCGGTGTGACTAGGTACGTGGTTGCAGGCTGCAGCTGCTGAAGTAGTACTGGCTTGTCACTGGTGGACCGTGATTCGTGCCTTGGATACATTCGTCGGGTAGATCTACCTCTCATCTCAGGACCGCCGTCCTAAGTCGTGCCGCTCCCCCTGTCCTCTGAACTCACAGACTCACACTGTGCAGTGTGGAATCTGGACTGGTTTAACAATTCTGGCGGCCAATCTACCATAGGTAGTCAAAGACGTACTGGTACGTATGATGCGAATAATAATGCAGATGATGATAGTGCAGCCGCCTGAGCGCACACGGGTTTGCGCCTTGCAGCCCAGTGCCAACCCGTTTGTACATGTCTATACTGTAGCCTAGACGTCTCTAGACTGTATACGTGACTCATGAGACTTCAAGTACTGAAAGTGAGACGCAAGGCCCCGCTCGATGAGTATAAAACGCTGCGAGCGCCAAACCAAATCCTCACTTCTTTCCACTTTCCCAAAGCAACTTCAAAGCTCTCAGGCGTCGAGCTACTTCTTCGACCCCACAGCAATCCAAAGCGCCTCCAAAGCTTGCATTGGTCTCCGCTCCGTGCCGCATCAATTGAGGTGGGCCTCGGATTACCACTTCTCTTTTGGCTTTTCCTTTCTCTTTTAGTTATAGATTGGCTTTGTGCTACTGGTTCTCCTGGCTGTTATCTACACCCGCGCGTTTGCCATCTTAAATTTCGGATTCCATTCTCTTATGAAGTTCTTCGTTCTGCAAGGAGTTGATTCAGCCAGCCAGTATGACTGCTGTGACGGCTTTGGTCAGGGACGTTCAAAAGGCCGCTGCTGGTCACGGTGTGTAGTAGTAGCAGTGACGAGCTGCTGGTTGGATGAATGTATGCAATGTAAACAAGGGATACTCAGAGCCCACTCAGTGCATGGTGCTTCTGAAGTTCGGTTGATTGCGTTCCTTCTGCGTGACGCTTTGGCGGATCATTAATCAGCTGCTTGCATTCATTCCAGTGGTTCCGGGTTTATTCAAGGCTACTTCCAGTCACACAACAAGCTCCCTTTTTTGACGTTGGGGCACTCGTAAAGACTTCCTTAAGAGTTTTGACAGAGTGGTGTTGATCTTTCAATGTCACGTATGGAGGGACTTCTCTTCAGGAGTTTTAAACCAACTTGTTTGTGGACTATCTTGTGTGAACCATGAGGTTTGAATTCAGAAGTCAATGAACCATTTGGCTTTTGAGAGTATGCTTCACTACATTTTTCCCAGCCCATTTTCAGCTTCCTACTTTTAGAATTATGAGAACAGCCAAAAGCTGACCTGCGCATTAGGCATTGCTATGTAGCGGATTCTTCTGTTGGACACTGAACTGAAGGTGTAAGAACTGGTCTCCTTGTTCCTCCATGATAAGTATATATAATCAGATGAATCCTACTCAAGAAAAGTATGGGGCTCAACGGGCTTTACGGGCTGACCGTTATCAGGCTTGGGTCCTTGTTTCCGTTTCAAAACGAGCGTTGACGGCGCAGCACTGCGTACTCCAAGTAACCGTAGCTTTCATCCTAGTCTCCTGCTCAATGGTCCCTCTTCCTTTTCTGAAATCCTTCTTGCGCTTAACAGAAAGGGACGAAAAGTAAGCCCACAAGTCATAGAACCAATCCACGCTCCGGCAATGCTCAAATGCTCATCTCACTGACTCCTTTTTGCAGATCCGATGGCTCCCCGCGCTCTGGCCACTCTCTTCTTCGTTGTGCTGGCGGTGACGTCTGCTTCCGCGCAGACGTCATGCAGGGGCATCGGTGCTGACGTGCTGACGGGCGCGATCGGCATGCTGACCGACACTTCCCGCTCGCTCCAAAGCGTTGCCCAGTTCACTCCCACCAACTTCCAGCAGCAAGTTCCCCAGGTTAGTGCTGCTGTTGGAGGTGTTTCTGCTAAGACTTTTCTCCTTTCGTGATCCATCAAACCCCATTCCAGCAGACCCCAAGATCAGTATAATCCTCTCAGGCCACTGATCGTGTGCAATAGACTGAACGGCTGTTCAAAACGAACTCTTTCAGGAATATGAGAAACCACCTTTGATTCTGCGTAAGGGTGAAACCGACTCAAAAGAGCTCTTGAATACCAGTGGAGGAGGTACCTTTCTTCATATCATCTCAGATTCAGGGGTCAACGAGCAGCAGTGTGGCTTCGGGTAATAGTAGCTTTCCGGAGCATTTTGGCGGAAACGTTTGACCTGAAGACGGTGTGAACATGTCCCACGAAACCAATATAAGGTCTCCTCAACACCCATTCAGCTTGCTTCAATTGGTCATAGGAGTACGGTCAATTATTTTTGTTCTGCAGTTCGCTCACCAGTCTGATTCGTTCTGACCTCTTGTCCACTTCTTTTCACATCCCTTTCCACAGGCACGAGCCCTTTCTCCCTCTCTTTGACCCTCTTCTTCGGAGCTTGCCGCGACTTCAAACCTTTCCTAAGCATCTTTACAAACCGGCTCTCACATGCTCCAAACTGCTGACCGCCCCTTCGCCCCCTCCCTTCGCGGCTGCCCAGATCTTTGAAAGCTTTCCTCATCATGCCTAGCCACGAAACGCTTCCTCCTTCCACCTCCACACTTGTTAACCTCCCCGAGCTGGCCACTTCTTACAAACCGCCTCACACAAGTTTCCCTTCCAGATCTCTTGAACCGCCCCTTCTCCCCTCTTCGCGACTCGTCCTTAACCTCATAAACCCTTCCAATCGAATCTTCCAAACTGCCTCTCATTCCGCCGCCCCGCCTCGTTAGCCGCCCTTAGTAACCCATGTCGCAATCATTGGAGGTATACCTCTATTATCCTTTTGAGCACCTGAAATCCTCACTCCGCTCCCCTCTAAACTCGCTATCCTCCTGGTCTCCCCTCCCCTCGTCCCTGGTTACGTCTTTCAGATGGCGCTTCGATAATTCTCGTCAGATCGTTAACTGTTTCTATTCCCTCTCTCCTCCCCCCCCCCTGCCCCGGGTCACGTCTTTCAGACTGCGCTTCGAAAATTCTCGTCAGATCGTTGACTGTCTCTATTCCCTCTTTTGCAGCTGGCCCAGGGCTTCGTCAACATCGCCAACAGCGTCCAAATGGTGCTGACGCTCCAGGGCTTCGTCCCCGCGGGCTTCACCTACCCCGACGCGGACGCCCAGAAGATTGTCGCCACGCTCAAGACCTTTGTCGCCGTCCACCAGCAGCTGCTCGCTATCGTTATCGGCGACAAGGGCTTCCTGGCCGGCGCCCCCTACACCGCCGGCTTCTTCGAGCCCATCCGCCTCGGTCTAGTTGTCCTGGAGCAGCAGGTGGACGCGTTTGCGCTGAAGCTCATCAACATGATGCCCACGCAGGTAAGTTATAATCTCGGGTTCAGTTGAGCCAAGACGAGTCTCGATTTTATGTGGAGTGAGACCGAAGCTATAATTGAGTTGGATCATTTCTTGTTGACCTCTTCGCGTTTGAGCTCATCGACATGATCCCCCACGCAGTGTCAGACTGGGTCGAGCCAAGATAGATATCGGTATTTTGTGTTGAGTCAGACCTGGGTTGTCTTTGATCAATTCCCCAAGCACAAACAGATCAAAAATCCAAACCCACAATTACATGCTCCCCACCCGCATCCAATATCAATTCCCAAGCAACCCCACCCTTCCTCGGGCTTGACCTTACTTGACATAGCCATAACTCAAAACAAAGTTGACACGAACTGTTTGAGCCAAATTGGGATAAGAACCGGGACCTAGAGGAAGCACTCTTAATAAGACACCCACAAAAAGATGCGCTTCGCATTCGTGCCCACCTTACCCCATCCGTTTCGAGTTCAAGAGCCTCTCGAAGGTTTTAGCTCAGCTTTTCTGGCTTCATGAGGAGCTTTCTACTTTACGCTTGGCTTCTTTTAGGTGACCTTCGTCAGCAACGGGCGAACTTTTCCAGCCTTGCTATGTAATCTGAACTCGACTACTACTCCCCTGATCATTGCAGAAGACGGAGGGCCAGAAGCAGAGTGACCTGCTGACCGGATCGATTGAGAACGCGCGCATCGAGTACAGCACACCGTACTTTAGTGTCACTGTGAACTCGGGCACTTCCAACGTCACTCAGGGAGTGGGGCCCCTCAACGTGCCCCTACCGGGCGGTCGCAAGATGGCGCTGTAGATTCTTTGCATAAAAATCGACACGTTGCACAGAAACGGCACGTTGCACAGAAACGGCACGTTGCAAAGAGTCAACACGAGAGAAGACAGGATAAGAGGTAAAGATTGAGCGAATGGCACTGACACACGTGTCTTTCGTTTAAGGTCACTGACGGAACATGGCTAGCTTAGGGCCACGTTGGAGAAGGTTCGCAGTTACATTAATAATACCTTTTGAGAATTTCGGCGGTAGTATGTGTAGGATGCGTCTAGTATGCGTAATAACGTACTTTTTGAAGAACACATTTCGAGAACGTTATCTGCTAGGACTGTGCTAATAAAGATCACAGCCAAGCATAAAGACGTATATCTTGAAACAAACTTCCATCTAATGAAAAACCACCTCCGAAAACAAAGTTCCAGCCATTGAGAAGAACGCCATCACTGACGTGCGTGCAAAGTCACCTGATATACACTTCGCATATTATTTTGAAACTTAAGCTAGAAATGTTGCATAAATATCGCCGCGACAATTACACCGCGCAACATCGCGCAACATCGCGCTATGCCATGATGGAAATGGAGCATTCAGTTCATAGTACGACCTACTAGCTGATATGTGCAGTCTGCGATCCGGCACATATATGTTCGTACTATTGACACTATCGACCATGCATGCTGTGACATCCGTGCATCCGACAAATCAATTTGTGCATTCATTCTAGCTCTGCCATGCGTGTGACTAAGAATTCGTGCAGCGCGCGATCCTATTACAAGCATGATGCATGAACGTATTATTGGATAAATCCACTGCCATTTTGCCATGTACTATAACGGTGCATGGTGACAGTCTCCGATCGAGCCGAAAACGGATTGAAGTGAATTTAACGTCGTCAACATCCCGAGCGTGATACTAAAACGCTAGTAACGAATAGAGCGAGGACATCAGGAGACGACAGATGCAGTATGCAGCTTTCATGTTTCACTTGCAAGGGAGATGCTTGTGTGGAGGGATTTTGTAGAGGGCGAATTCTGGCCAAGTAAGAGCACTACAGCGATCAGGACATTGCGGAGCTTGATTCTCACGACAGTCCTGGAAATGCTTCGAGATTCCGATTGAAAAGATGCATGTGTGCGAACGGTACCGTACACCTCCTTTTTGTAAAATTGCGTCTGATCAGGTAAAGGATAACCCGGTAAGGGGCCCATTTAACCGAGTCGGGTAATCCTGTGATAAAGTCTGCAATCTGCTCTAGGTACTTCCAAAATTGTGCGGCTCAGCAGACTTCCTTTACCGAGCGAGTCTATCCTTGCTGTGCGACAAGATATTATACAAGGTGCATCGTACTAGGTCTTTGACGCTCAGGATCGAGTCTGCATTACAGTCGCCGCACGAACGGAATTTCAGTCAACGCCTGTCTACTTACCATACCTGTCTACCTTTCCCCACACTCCCCCACCCAAAGCCTATGCCTACAGCATTCACTGGCGCCTGAATTCGGCTACTCAGCTTGCCGCTAATAACACATAATGCAAACACTACTCTTGTGAAACGTTCTCTGGCGCAACCAATCCCGACCCTTCGCCGCCGCTCAACCGCGCCGGCAGGATAGGCAGTGACGGAAGCATCGACAAATTCAGCGACTTCTTCCCGGGGGTTGCCATGCGCCCCAGCCCGGGGGATCCCCCCCAGTCAAACGCGGGGGCCATGACTTTGGTCGGTGAACCCGTTTTCGATATCCGGATCGGTGTCGCTTCGTCCGCCGACACAAAAGCCTCCCCCGAAACCCTGCCCCCCGCTGAAAGCCGCCGGCGCTTCCCGTCCTGCGGGGACAGGAGCGCGGCCGAGGGATCATCTGGATCTTCGTTGTACTGCCGCCCGCTCCCGACCGACAGATTCTTCAGACTCACAAACGAGGGGCCGGTTCGCTGCGTTTTTGGGGGGGGGGAAACGGGGACGCTCTCCTTCGGAGCCTCACCGTATACGTCCTCGCCATAAGCGGGCAGGTCCATCTGCCCGGGGTCGTATGTGTATAAGTCCCCTTCCACGCCATAGTCGCACGGCTCCATGAAGAAGCTCTCGGCGAGGGGGTCTTGCCCGTCCATGTCGACACTCTCGTCACAGGTTAAGGCGCTAGGGTTAGTGTAACCCGTGTCAAACCCGCCTCCCTCCTGCAAACCGCTTGCGCCCCCTTTCTCCAGTGCCGAATTTGGCACGGCGTTCGGGGTGGGAGTCCCAGAAAGGTTCGAGAGCTTGAGCATCCCCCCCGAAGAGCTGACACCGGGCGTTCGCTGAGGCGAGTACACCCCTTGGCCAGAGTTCCGCCGATCCGCCGGATCGGAAGCCATATCCGCCGGATTCCAGATCACCGCTCCCAGTGGGGTAGACCTGACCTTCGCTCGCGAGAGCGGGGTTCCGCCCACTCCGGTTCCGGTCCGGAGAAGCGGACCGGAGCCGAAACTCGGGGACGGAGAAGCGGGCAGGTGTAAAAACTCCGTGGTATCTGAGCCGCGACGGTCAGGGGGCGACGGCGGGATAGGATAGGACCGGGACACCGGGCTGGGGTCGGGGGAAGCAAGGCTCCAGCGCGCAGGGGATGAGGAGATGCTCGGGAAGACTCCCGAGGAACTGCAAGAGGGAAGGCAAGTGGAGGCGTGAGAAACACGTACACTGTGGGCTTATTTTTGGGGGTCTGTCGTGTTCTGCCCTCGAGTTGGTGCGCTTGTGGTTCGAAAGGCGCGAGGACTTTCGAACGTTGTGAAAAGACGTCAGGTTGTGGAAGGTAGCCAGACATCTGGCTCGACAGCGAAGCAGATTGCCACAATGCTTCGCCGTTCACTACGCGCCTCGAGGGGAGAGAAGCCCTCTTGCCAATATAACAAGCAATCTGCGATCGACACCTAATTCCAAGGCAACCTTGGTCACTTTCGAAGATCCAGAACTTTACGCAAACCAGGCCTTGTCTCGACCAGGACAAGACAAAATTAGGCGGACAAAGAATACTCCAGATGCGAAGTGCGAGAAATCTGACAGGCGCGAGTCTTCACAAGCCGAGGAGCGCAATTCCACCGAGGCGAGTTTTACACCAGAAGCGCATTCATACTCACGTCTGCTCGGCGGCGCCGCCCCTGTTCTCCCGCACTGTCTTCAGGTCGCCCTTCGCCGCGTCTTTCTTCCGGCCCCGTCCCTTTGCTGACGTGGCAGCGCCCGCTGACGTGGCCGGCGCCACTGACGTGCCAGGCGCTGCTGACGTGGCAGGCTCCGGCTTGGGCGGAGTCTCGGGGCGCTTTTCCTTAGTCGGGTGATGGTGCGGAAAGTCCAGGGCGGAAATCTCGTCTCCGTGGGGGTCCAGGCTCTGCTTTTTGGCGACCATTTTGCCCCCCCCGGGGAATGTGCGCTGGATGCTGCACACGTCAGGACGGGTCGTGTGAGTGCGGTTATAAGCGGACAAATTGGGGTACCTACTAGGCCTGCCAGATGACGTAGGTAATAAGGCCAACGGACATGCGTCTTTTCGGATCAAGAGTGACGGAGACCTAGCGAGACGGCATGGAATTTTAGAGATCTTCTGAATACATCTGTCTGCCATTATTGTCAGCTTGTGGAAGAGACGCACAGCTGTCTTGGACAAGAAATACAGCGCCATCGAGTCGAGACTACTTGTTGCGTTATGATCAACCCACGTTAGTGTGGCTTTTAACCGAAGCAGAAAGTGGGACAGTCTCAAACCGAAGTTTCAAAAGGGTTTTTTAGGGACTTCCAAAAATGGCACACCTGATGTGGCCAAGCCTTGCGTCGCAAGAGAGAGCGCATGCCGGGTCGTCAGGGCTATTAAAACGGTCTGACATGACCCGAATGGAGCCCGACGTCGCCTTTCTGAGAGCAGAAAGTAAGGAGATCTCAAAAAAGAAGGAAAGGAGAAAGAAACAAAGACACCGCACCTGATATGGCCGAAGCCCGGAGTCATCCGCGAGCGCACGCCGTCGCCGTCGCCGTCGCTACTCTTGACGATCACTTCCTGACCTCATCGGACGGGAGCCTCACGTCACTGTCTCGGGACCAAAAGCAGGGAAACTCTCAGACAATACACTGAGATTTCAAGAGTAATCTTCAGAACCGCGCACCTGATGTGGCCAAAGCCCGGTGTTGCAGGCGAGCGCATGCCGGCGGCCTCAACGGCGCCCCCCCCGGCGTGGTCGCAGTGCGGGCCGTGGCTGTGGCTGTCCTTCGTGCCGAACTCGTTGGCGCAGTTCTCGCAGCGACACGCGTCCGTGCAGGCAACGCCAGCCTGGAAGCGAACGACGAAACTGATGAGACTAGGATTTCAATGTGACGTGTCTTGGCTTCTAGCTATCGCGTTTCTGGTCCATATTTGCGTTGGTTCGGTACAAACTGAACGGAGGCAAGACCCTCAATTTCTACGACCCGGAATCCTGAAACCTGAGACCCTAAAATCAGCCAGATCCAGAGGAGGACTCGAGCGACTCGCAATTGGGCCTAAGACGCTCTCATTTTGTGCGAAGTTGATTGTCGGCCGTTTCTGGCTTTCGAGGCCCGGGCGTTTGCAAGTTGGATCGTGCGTCCGAGAACGTTGTGTATTCGTGTTGGATGATTTCAAATACCTAGGGCTTCCTTTCTGGAAACGATGCAGAGTGTTTGGAAATGAATCCATATGGTTTTGCGCGCCAGGTTTGAAGAGACTCGTGATTCGCCAGGTTGAAGGAAGTAGAACGTTGTGTTAACAAGGACATCTGGGACAGACCGCCGTCCTCAACAAAATCAGCCCCCGCTTCAAAGAAGCATTCCACCACTTCTAATCCGATTCCGATCGTCCGGTGCATGTCAAGTCAGATACACCCGTGTCGTATTGGATAAAAAAAAGGAATGGTTCAGAGATAAGTCCCGAAAGTTGTCGGGATTGAGTGGACGTACCTGGAAGCACTCGCAGTACTTCTTCTGGCACATCGACTTCTTGCAGTGGCAGCCCTTCTTGTGCTTTCCCGAGGCGGGGGTCTCGCCTTTCTGCAGAGGACAGATCCGAGGGCTTCTACTCAGCCGCCAAACGGATGTTTCAAATTGTACAAAGGAGGGTGGTCAAGCTTAGGAACAACGTTCAAGCCCCGACAGTCTGTAGGGTGTCTCTTTAACCGCTCATAAACGGGGGGCTCGCGAGGGCTGGATAGGACAGACGCGCAGGCAAGATTACGGCTATCAGCCGACATACTAAAAAGAGCCCCACCCGTCAAGTAACGCAGCTGAAGAAAGGTTCTGTTTGGTTCTCTCAGAAAATCTCCTCACAGGTCGGTTGAAGATTGCTGACGCCTGTTTCACTAGACAGAACCTTGAGCTGAAAACGAAGCTATCCTTCCAAGGCGACCAGTATACTCACAGTGGGGGAGGGCGACTCGCCCTCAACGATCTTGGGCGCAAACGCGTGGGGGTCCTTGCGCTCGATCTCCTCCTTCTTGGCCATCACAATGTCCTCAAATTCGGGCCGGTTCTGGCAGTCCAAGCAGTCGCAGCCTGTGCAGTATACGTTGGCAGCGAAGCACTCGCAGTACCTGCAAGGGGTTGGAAGATCATTTGAGGACTGGTTCTGTTTTTGGCGGATTTCGGCTGGATCCTCTCCAAGGCAAATACTTTGATCAGTGGACAGTTTCAAGCAGGCCCCTTTCAGACCATGACTGCAGGGTGCGACTGCACTCGGCGGGTTCAAAGAGGCTTTTCAACAGCGGTGAGCTAGAAAAGCTCTCGATTAAATTTTGTGGACAGGGCTCAGCCTGTTTGTGCCACAGTAGGTTCGCCAACGTGGCGCTCGGACGATGGGCAGAGCGGTTAGATAGCTCGCTAACACAGCAACCTTCGACGGCAGAGGCGACCTCAGGAAGGCTGCTAAGCAAGCGGAAGGACGGGGGGACTCACAGCTTGAGGCACCGCGACTTTTTGCAGTGGCACCGTTTGCAAGTCCCCGCCGGTTTCCTGCACGAGGCGCACCAAGTTTCAGAGCTCCCATCAGTGAAAACCGCACAACCCGACAATACCGAATGACTGGGAAGGACTGGAGAGAGATCCTGGAATACGAGCAGGACCCCATTGTCGAACGAATTTCCCAGAAGTTCGAAGAAGCACAGATTAAAGGATATGAAGGAACACACGGTTTGTGGCTACGAGGGGCGCAAAGTAAAATCGAACACGGCTTGCGTTCTAAACATGGCATGGTCAAGCCCGAACCGGCCCGTTAAAACAAACAGAGACCGATTTGGCTCGTCTGCACCGCCGGCTTCCCTCCCTCGACCAGGTCCACAGACAACATGGTCACCATGACGTCAGCCAACCAGACACGTGGCAGGCCCGCGTCACTCACTTGGGCTGCTGCGGCGGGCTCTCGTGGACGACCACGAGGTCCATCTCCAGGTCCAGGTCCAACTGGAGCTCGCTCAACGGGTCCGGCTGTGCGGGTTTCCGCTCGATCGCCGCCTCCATCTTCTGCCGCTGCACGACCGCGGGCGACATGCCCGGCGGGGGGCCCTGCGCCTGGCCGAACGGCATCGAAACCGCCCCGTAACCCTGCGGCGCCGGCCGCGGCAGGGCCTTCTGGTAACTGGGCGTGTAGTGCGAGTACCCGGGGAAGCGAGTGCTCGTGAACGCCTGCGGGCGCTGCGTGGGTGGAAAGCTCGCGCGCTTTCCCGGAGGCCCTGTCGGGCCGGGCATCGCCGATTGCGGCCCAGGCAGGTGGGTGTGGTGCTCGGGGGGGACGGGACCCACCCCGGGGGTTACCCTAACCACCGTCCCGGCGCTTAACCCAGCCCCGAGGCGCGCGAGGTTTAAGGGTTTGGCCGCCCGTACCGGGGCGGGCAGGGGCAGGGGTTTCGGCACGATGGCGACGTTTGGGTTGAAGGGAGCGGCCGCTGACGTCACCCCGGGTGCTGATGTCACGAGGGGCGAGGCCAAACCCTGAGGCCTGACGACCGGCTGTGCGCAGCGTGGAGGGGGCGTAACGTAGCCCTGCTTCGCCTGCCCCGGCGTTACGCTCGGGTTGCCGTGCTGGAAGGCTGAGGGGGCTCCAGGAGGAGTAGCAACGGGCCAGGAGGAAGGCTGAGCGTTGTGCATGGCGACAGGTGTCACCGCCAGATTGCTTCGCTCGTTGCCACCTGCCTTCCAAACAGGCCCCCCAGAAGGCCGGGCGACCACGGGTGGAGCTTGAGCGGGTCTTGCCTGCACCGGCGTCGGATTTGGGCGGCCAACCGTCGGCTGACACGTGGCAGGCGTGTTGCACGCGGACAGCGCCCCCATGGCCGCGGACAGCGCCGCCGCAGTTGCGTCCGAAGCGTCCTTCGCGTCCTGGTAGACCCCGTCCGAGAACGAAACCCTCTCCCGTTTCGCCGCTCTTTCCCCTTCCCCCTCGGGCGTAGCGCCCCGCTTCTGTCCTGGCTGCCAGGCGTTGTCTCCGCCCTCTTGTTTAACCACCATCTTAACCGTTTCTGGGGGGTTCTGTCCAGACTGCGGCGTTCCGTTTCTGGGGCCGGGCGTCGAGCTCGCGTTGGCGACCGAGATGTACATTTGGCTCTGGGCTGGGGAGTTCTGTACGGCCGAGAAACCGGGCCAGCTTCCCTGGGCTTCGAGGGAGAGGCGGGGGTCCTGTCGGGCGGTGAGGCTCTGACGGCGCGCGGCGTCGGCGTCGAAGTCGAGGCGACGCGCACGGCCGGTGTTTCCGCCCAAAGCACCTGGGCGTTCGAAGTAGATCTGGTTAGCAGGGAACACTCCTGGATTGGAGAACGACATAGTGGAAGTGGCTAACTAACGGCTGAGCAGCACAGTCACGAGCTTGTTGGGTATCCAACGGGATACAAGGAACAGTGTACAGAACGAGTCCGTCTTCCTTGCCCGTTTTGCCGGCATCTGTCTCTTTTGAAAGCAGCTGTGTTTCAGCAGTGTTACTTTAACAATGCACACTCCAGAGGCAGATGCGTCAAAGGCTCTTTGCACGACCTATAAGCCAAGAGCCGGAAAAGAGGACGCAATCGACAATTAACCCTAACGTCATTTCAAGTTCCTACAAGATGCAAAAACACCATCTTCTCAGGCGTTGATCCAAGCGAGGTCCCCTCGGACAAGCAAGCAGGCTTCGAGTGTCCTCACCCGATGAAGACGTTCCGTTCTTGGCGTCCTGAAACACCACAGACCGGGGGGTGGCTGCCGGTTCACAGCTGACCGCAGGGCCAGACACAACGTGCACACTTGCACTAATCGCCTCCACCTTGACAGCTGTCGCCACCTGAATTGGAGTCGTCCGCCCACTGCCAGCAACCCCTCCTTCCAACTTCTCTGCTGCAGCAGGCGCGCTCTCCACCGCGATCCGTTTCTGCCCCAAGCCGCTGGTCGGCGTGGCCTCTTCCCCGATCAGCCGCCGTTTCGCCTTCTCCGGCGTCCGCCCCTCAGACAGATCCACCAGCAGCTGCGCCACGTCCTCCTCTGTCTGCTTGGCGCCGCCAGGTGGCGGCGCCGCATTGGCCGGCGCCTTGGGCGGAGTCTCCTGGCCCCTGCGCACCCCCTTCCTGGGGCTCCGGACTCCCTTGAGCTGAGGCAAAACGGTTGACCGGGGGGGAGAAGCATGCCTCGCACTCTCAGGCTCGGCCGCTTTTTGGCAGGGCTCAAGCACTGCAACGGCACTCTGTCGCACCAGCCCTGTCTCTTTCGCCGGCCCGTCAAGGTCTTCCCTGCTTCCCAACGCCTTCCCGGCTTCTTTCACACTCTCTGTATCCGCCAGAGCCGTTTCTGCGGCCCCTTGCTGACTTTCTATTCCGGCGCCTCCGTCCACTTTGCTTGGGCTGGATCCCGCCTCATCCTCTCCAAAAATTCCAGCCCCCGCCACAGCCCCACACACACTCGTTTGCAGCCTCTGCGCCCCTTCGTCTGCAACTGCTCCATCCGCCGACACCGTTCTCTCTGTGTCGTCAGACGACCCCCCAGCATCCTCCGCCGCACTCGAGTCCTCTCCTCCCGAGACAAACCTCGACTTTTTCCTGTTGCTCAAGCTCCGCTTTCCCTTTGGCAGCACCCCCAGCACGATGCCCGTGCCCCCAGCTCTCTGCTTGGACCCCGACCCTTCGCCCTTCTCCATTGTCCGGCTCCTTGTCTGCCTTGGCCTTACTTCTGGGTTGTCCTGTACTGCCGCCGCGAGTTTCGGTGTCGGAGGGGTGAGCTCCATTGCAGCAGGTGCCGGCAGGATGGCCTGGCTCTTCGACTCGCTAGCTACTTCCTGGGCTTGAAGAGCCCTCTCAGAAGCAGAAGCCACTTGCCCGCTCTGCTTCACAGCAAATGAAAGCTCGCGGTGAAGCTGGGTGCCCAAACTTGGTTGCTCCGCCCCTGACCTCGTCGCCCCTCCCTCCGCTTTCTTTTCCTCCGCCTCTTGATCCAAAGGTCCAGCAGCGGCCTCTGTGAGTTTAGTCGGTGGAACCGGGGAAGCTATAGGGGGCATGACAGATTCCTTAGCTTGCTGTGAACCAGGGATTACCGTTGAGCAGGGGTTGTAAGGGTTTGGCGTTGGGACTGCAAGGACTGTCTTGGCATCCTGGTCAGATGCACTTGCTTTCCCCCGCTTGCTTTCTGGAGGCTGGACGACAACAGTTGCCGGCAGATCCGAATCAGCTTTCAGAGACTTGAGGAAAGCCGGTGGCGCAGCAGCCTGAGGGGCCAAATTGTCTGCATCCGGCTGTGGTTCGTCCCTCCCCCTTTTGCTGCCGCTTGCCTTCTGACCATCGTCAGCAGTCCTTGAAGATTCTGGCTTTGCCCCCAGGTCTTCGCCCTTTGCTTCGGCAGGTTTTGTCGCCTCCTCCATGTGCTCTGTTTTGGGGGGTGGGCAGCGAGTATTAGGCTGCCCCTGCTGAGCTGGCAATGACCTGGCCCCCGCAACCACAGGATCCTCCGTTGCACCTTTCAAGGCGAGCTTGCTCTCACAGTCCCCCACACTGCCCCCTTCTTGCACAACCAGGACCTGTTTGCTGGCAGCGGCAGAAGCAGGGGCCTCCTCACTTTGACCAGCAAACAAGGCTGTGCTCGGGTCGCCGATGCGGCTCAGGTTGCGCCCAAACGTCTGGCGCAGCGGTTCTCGCTTGAGGAGGCCGGGGGTTTTGGGGGCCTCGTCGGTGGTGGCGGCCAGGAGGAGCGCAGCAGCTGAGCTGTTTGCAAACCTGCAAAGGTTTAAACAGGGAGAGACTGAACGTCCAGACAAGTGAACGAAGCCAGCAAAGGCATACTTGAAGTTCAAAAACATTTGTTTGGATTGGTTCATAGCTCTTGTGTTGAGAGAGCTCTTGGATGAGAATGAAAGCAAAGCCCCGAGAAGGGACGCTGCATTAAGGATTCTGCACAGCTTGCAGGAACTTCTGCTGGGTTGCTGGTCTCGAGCAAAGAATGCTCATTGCAACAAGGAAGCACCCTTTAAAGTGTGACAAGCATATGCAGATGCGCACGAACCCTCCCATGCTCCAAGAAGCTGCAGGCTCGGTTGCTAGGGAGCTAGGGGAATGTGAGGGCTGGTACTTTTGGACAAGAACGATGAAACAGACTTTCTGCCTTGTCGAACATGTCACCAATCTTTCCCTCTTGTTTCATGAAACCAGTCATCAGTCACACGCCTCCTAGACAAGATAGGTGCTTTCTTTCTTTGTTATCTCATCATCCCATTACACCGTCATAAGCTGCAACCAGAAATAGCCTGACCGTTTCTCCTTCAGTCTCCTGGTCGGAAAGTTGGGCGACGCTGGGGACCGGATCTGGTTCAACTCGTTGAAAGTGCTTGCATGGAAGGTTGGGACCGGTCGGATGGGGGAGAGGGTGTCGCACAAGTCCATGAAGGCTGCGCTCCCTGGGGATGACTGCAGGGAACAAAGGCCGCATGTAAGACCAGCGGAGATACAAACACTCGTTGAATACTTGGTCAAAGGAGGTCTGTTTACAGGTCCAGGAGCAAGCAGTCCCCGGTGAGAGATGAAAGTGCTTCTCTGGTTCTGGAACATAGGAATATTGACGGGGTTAGGTGCACCCTGTTGACTCCCTTACTATTGATTTTCTTGGACGAGCAGCTCGTGTGCTTCAATTTTGGAGGAACATGGAGCTCCAAGTTGACCACTCCTTTCTAGACAAAATACCTCCATATCCAACATGCAAGTCGTGAGCTTCCAAGCAAGTGCCCTCTCCACACTTCCAGACACGACTTGTTATGCTTCCATGTGCCTGGGAAGAATAGTGTTATGGGCCACCAGACATTAGTGTTCTATGCTCGGCAGACAAGTACTTCTGTTGCTCATGGCACCATATGAAACATAAAGCCACGATAGTATTCTCCTGAATGCGGCCTTCATAGTCAAGCAAGAGCGAGAGCCAATACTAAACCTGAGAGTCAAGAACAGAACCTTTGACTTCATCTCAATTGATGAAAGGCATGCACGTAAGGTGCGCAAATCAAAGCATCAAAGTTTATCAGGGAGCCAAAACGCAATTGGTACCGATTGTTTCGATACGAAAATCCACAAACGCAGCCATCACTCTTCAGCACGGATCCTTATGCCGAAAGCTGACATTGTGACGCAACTTTGTGCTTTCCAGGTGTCCAAAATCGTGACGCCGCCGTTAACAGTGTTAAGAAGGCACGCCCGCAAAAGTGGATTCAAGGAGCAGCAACGGTCTCTGAACAGAGCGAATTGCCTGCCAAAAAAATGTACTCACAAGCGCAAGAATACAGTGACTGCACATGCAGTCTCATTCCTTGTCAACATTCACGCCAATAGTGACCATTTTGACCAACATCCCTGATCAACTACCTTCCATCAATGCAAGGAGTCATTAAGCAGAAACGTCCTTGAGTAAGAGCCATGTTGCCAAAGAAGTATCTGACGAAACGCGTTAACAGATTTTGTACGATGTAGTCTCACCATGATGCCATCCCAGTTTGGCTTTATTGGCGCCCGTCTCTCTGGTGAATCCATGACGTCAGCCAATACTTCTACAGGTAACCTCAAGCTCAACAAAGCCTTCTCCAGCCCCTCTGCTGACACATCTCGGGGTTTGCTTTCCACTCCCAGTTGCTCGAGTTTTACATAGGGCGTTGTCACCACCGCATCTTTGACTACACTTTCTGCAAAAGCGGCCGACTTGGATGTTCTTGATGAAGCATGAGCTTTGCGTAATGCTGATCTTATATACTCAGAGCCTCCTGTTGTAAAGCAACCCTCAGAGTTCGGCTGTGGTATAACAAACGAATCAAATTGTCGGCACTGATGCCAATGTTGGTTCCGATGTGCGCCAAAGTGTGCGCCGCCTTTGATTTGACTCCACACTATCTCACAGCCTGTGGTAGCAATCCCCTTCCACCAAAAGCAGTGGCAAAGTGTTCCTGATGATCCTGACTCGCTGCTCCTGCAACTTTTTCACCACCCAAGGAAATGCAGCCTCAAAAAGGCTGGAGCCAGCAACACGTACTGACAGCTGGCAACCGCTTTGCGGTTCTTTTTGGCTGTTCAGAGAAATGGCGGCAAGCACTTTTCGCAGTCAGGCTCAAGCCGTCGATTGCTGCTCAGGCTGCCCCGATCAGGCCCCGCAGTCTGCCACATGGACTGCCGACCACCAACCGACCTAAACCGACCGAGCGGCGAGTAGTTTCTGGCGGGAGTTCGGCCTTTTGAAACCAGGGGTCTGATGCATACCTGAATGAATCCCTGGATGCAACCCCCCAAAACAATGTGCGGTTGCCGTGCAATTTCATATTCAAATTGGCGGGGATTGGTTCGCCACCTCAGCTGGTAACAGCCAATGAGCGGCCTGCTCTTTATGATTCAGGGGCGGCACGTCAACATCTCCAAACCCTGCTTGAGATGGGCGGCGATCCGCGCCCGCGGACATACTCGCGGCCGGCTCCGCCGGTTGAATCTCATCGCGAGTCAAAACTTAGCGTCAATAAATGTTAGAAATGTCTTACAGTGACACTGACGCAAAAGGGACAATCTACACTGTTATATTAGTGTCTCCGATAAATTTTATGTGTTAATACCTTCCCGCGCCGCGACCATAAATGAACAGACCTGTGAAGCTGGCCGGTCGGTACCACACCCGCACAGCGTCCCCCGGGCACTTAAAGTTGCTGGCCGGGTAGCTGGACGACCGCTAACGGGTGGAGTTAACCTGCCTGTGTTAACCAGGTTAAAAGACGGTGATCCGGTGACTATGACTGTGACTGTGACTGTGACTGTGACTGTTATTGTGACCGTAATAGTAACTGTGACTGTAATTGTGACAATTCGAACCTATCGGTAAACCATTTTCGTAAGTGAACCGTATTATTTTGTAATACGTGACTTTGACACCGCACGGAAGGTAGACACTGACTGCGATTGTGATTGTGACTGCAAAGTGACCGATCGTTTGTGCCAAGACTTATAAACCCTTATTGTGACCCGAATTACTATTTGACTAACCGTACTACTGAAACCGTGTGAAACCAGACAATGGGTTTCCTGGAGTCCGTACATACCGTGCTACAGACCATTAAATACGGTCTGTTATCAACTTACGTTTAACCGGACTCCGGATAACGGGAGTAGGTAGTAGCTAACATACAATCCACAGACCGGGAAGCAGCCCGGTACCGTCCCGGTGCCCGGTCAAAGATGGACCGGAGTCCCGGATCAAGCAAACAGATTGCTCTGACGCATGTCAGACCAGTAGCCAATGCCTGCACAGATTGACGCCATGTGAGTATTTTCTCTGACAGGTCGACCGGAGACACTAATATAATAGTGTACTTTGTCCTACTTGCGACACTGACATCACTGTATTAAATACCGTAGTGGAAAGGTATGAAGCCGAATGGTTCAAAATGGTAATTATTTAATCGAATACGACCTGTTTAACCGATTTAATTTGTGAATTCGACCCTGAATCCGAATGTGCTCGGTAGCTCTCCCCGAGGGCTTTTTTGCCCCATACCAGCGTCAATGAGGCTGCCCGGCTATAATTTTGAGAATCCGACCGCAATTGAGCAATTATTTACCAAATCCGAAAAACCACTTGCCGAATGAAAAACAGGTAATGTAACTTGCCGAATGGTAAACAATTATTTATTTTTTCGGCTTCATACCTTTCCACTACGGTACACAAAATTGTTTTAGGTAAGATACCTAGCTTGTAGGTAGGGGCGCATGAGGATCCGACTTTGGAGGAGACATGGAAAGAACCTACCATGCTCATTCTGATCCGTGTCAGCATTGCACCCCTGATGGTTTAGTCTGTTTACCAGCTTCTGTGATCCTAACTGCCAGCGTGCCAGCGCACTGCGTGGCATGAATTTTATCTGCTGGGGCTTCCACTCCAAAGAATGTGAACGAAGCTGGTTGGCCTCTAAAATAGCATTGTTGGTCTAGGCAATAAACGGTTCTTGGTGTAGGCAGAACTGCCTTTTAAAATATAAAAGGAAGTTGGCGTGGGGCCGCCAAATCAGCAGTTGAAACGAGGATGTGGGACTCTCGCTCTTCTTACTGCCAGCAATGCCACCGGGAGTTTGGCACAGATGGCGCTCTGCAGCAGCATCTGCACTCCTCTCCTGTCCACAGGGTTTATGCTTGTAATGAGTGTGGTTTTGAGAGCGCGGGTGCGGCAGCCCTGGAGAACCACCTTGCCTTGTACCACCCCCAATCCTACTGCGAGCTATGTGACCGGAAATTCAACTCAGACGGGGCCTTGCAGCAGCACCTTAGAGAGTCACCAATCCACAGAGTTGCAGCATGTGCGGAGTGCGGCACTCAATGCAAGGGCGGAGCGGCCCTGGAGGAGCACATGGACTCAAACCACCCCCTTCCCTACTGCGTGCCTTGCGACCGAGAGTTTGGCACAAATGCGGCACTGCAACAGCACCTGAAAGAGTCCTCGGTGCATAGGGTGTACAATTGTGCTGTATGCCGAGTAGAATGTGTGGGCGTAGCAGCGCTGGACAGGCACATGGAGAAGTTCCACCCGGTGTTCTGGTGCGAAGACTGCGACTTGGAGTTCAATACGGAGGCAGCTTTGCAGCAGCACCTGAGAGAAGCAACGGTTCATGTCATCCTGCCCTGCGAAGAGTGTGGGGCGCGCTGCTTTGGCGCGGAAGCCTTAGGGGAGCACATGGACCTTTTTCATCCTGATCCCTATTGTGAACCCTGCGATCTTGAGTTTGACACTGCAGAAGAGCTACAACACCACCTTAGGGAATCCCCCGAACACAGAGTCATAGCTTGTGAAGAGTGCGGGGTTGAGTGCATTGGTGAAGCTGCCTTGGAGGAGCATTGGGACGAGTTCCACCCCCTTGCCTATTGTGAATCTTGCGACCGTGAATTTGATACGGAGCAAGCACTGCAGCAGCATCTTAAGACGTCCTCCGCCCATAACACCCCAGTCTTTTCTTGCAACAAGTGTGATAGGACGTTTGATTCAAAACAAGCCCTTCGTCAGCACCAGAGTTCCCCAGCACATGTTCACCGCTGTGAAGAGTGCAACCGAGAGTTTGCCACCCCGACCTCCCTCCAACAGCACTTAAGTTCTCCCTTACACACTCATCACTGTGCTCCGTGCGGCATCACCTTCACCTCACAGGCCTTCCTGGACCAACATCTAAGAAGCAACACGCACATGGCGCTTCAGCCTGAAGGGGCGAACTGTTGCATTTGCTTTGCAAAGCCAAAGGATGCTGCTCTTGTGCCATGTGGGCACCGGATGTGCTTCGAGTGTGGGCGCAAAGTCCGTAAGGACAGAAAAAGATGCCCCATTTGCAACAAAGCTATCGGCACAGTGATACGGTTGTTTGGTTAGATAGATAATTAATTTTGGATTTGAGAGTCACAAGCCTGTTGGACTTGTAGTCTATTGATGCAACTTAGACTCAAAGTCGCATAGTATTGTACGGATGTTTATGACATGCGGGTACGCTCGTCAACGACGACTCTTTCAGGGCTTAAAGATCTTAGAACGAATGATGGTTATGGCCGCGGTTTTCTTGCTTACTAGTAGACATGTAGACAGGAAAATCTATCCAAGGATGCAAGCTGCTTTGTTGCATGCAAGTTGGATTTACAGGACTGGATTATCGAGAAGAGATAAAGTACGATATTGACTATACAAGCCGATCGAAACGATCAGGGTATGAACAGCATGCGTGCAACTGCGGCTTTCAGTAGTACACCGCACGGCGTCATTGACAAATTTGAGTGCAAGCCTCACATGCAAGTGAGCAGCTCGATGCCAAGCACAACAGCGTTTCGCGTGACGTACTCAGTGTGATCTGCCAGTGTCGATATCGATCAAGTAAAATCAGGCAGGGCCGGAAGTTCTGGCGGGGATCGACGTCGCTACTACATCTTTGAACATGGACGCGTCGAACAAAGCTTAATGCTCTGTCGAAGCGATCCTAGTATATAGCTTTCTCAACCCACTGGTAGTCTGCCAGATCATGGAATGTAAGTCAAAGTACCACAAGAATACAGCACGTGTGCTGCCATGGGCTTGCAACATGAACATGCAAGTCATGTTGATAGCATGTTAAGAGGATATAAATTCAAGACGTCCGAACTTCCGTTGTTCCATGCGATTTGCATCAATCAATCTGATCAAGCAGTTCAGTCAACAGGTCACCGCTTACGTAGCCGTAGAATCACAACGCTCGGATGATCTTTGCCCCAACTTAGCCCCCTTTCGTTTCCTCGAATCTCCTGGACAAAAGCAAGACAATAACCAATATGAGGGCTGTTTGAAAATGCGCGTACGCATCTATAAAGATGGTCGAGTTGAGCAAATGCGACTGACCTCAGCAAGGTCCGAACATGACCTGCTGACCTTGGTTTGAAAGTGCCTCCGAAATAAGGCGGCACCGCACAGACCAGTGACTTGATCATATGACGCTGTTTGCAATATTGTCACTCCCCAACCATGGGCAATGAGCTCTCGGAGTGCAGCCTGGATGCTCCAACGCCCAAGGCGTGTCAGGACAGTGAACGGCAACTAAACTGCCTTACAGAACCCTTACACCTCACGTCTACTCCAACGAGATACAAGCGAGTGGCCGAAGAGCAACGGTGAGAAATGCTCGTGATATGCCAATCAACGACCCGAACAAGGAGCCCGCCCGTCCAAAACACCGCTTATCCAACCCATCCCGGCTCGATGTCCCGGCATGCACCATCGTGAAACCGGGGCATCGGCAGCGCCTCTGTCGACCGCTTCGGTTGCAAACCGCGGACAGTTGGAGTAAGAGGCGACGTTTTCCCTAACCCGCAACCCAACACCAAGCTCTACGACGCAGGCAGTCAACTGCCAGGATGCGCTTCACCAGCGACGGGACGAATCACAAACCCGCGCCTCTAGTTCGTACATCCAGAAAACGGGCGACCGTGCACTCACCTCCCAGTCGAAAAAGGTCGCCAGCTGCTCGTGCAAGTACGTTTCGTTCTCCTCCTGCCGCTGCTTGTGCGCCAAGAAGATGTCGGTATCCGGAGAACTGCAAAGACGGCTTCATATTGTCAGCAGTACTCTCATGTGTGTGAGGAAACCGTCGGATCAACCCTATCGCACTCTCGGGGCTCTACATAGTGAAGGGTTTATCAATAATGGTATACTTTCTCGCGAGCAGAAAAACAATACAACCCTTTGAACATCTTAGCACCATCTGCTTTTGTCTCCGTCTGCCGCCCAGATAATAGGGCGAGCCCACAGGAGCTGAAAGGTCACCGCACACAGCCTCTGTATGGACGGAGCTAGTGTGCTCGCCGAGGGACGAGAAAAGAATTGACAATAGCATGTCAATTATTGTCAGAGCCTGCTCTCAAACTGGATGCGACTCTTCCAAAATTTCAAATGGAAGCGCACTTGAAAGCAACCTTTCTGAGTCTCACGCATTCTGTTTTCTTTTACGCACCGATTACAGCGCCATCTGTAAAAGCCTTGTAAGTGCCGTGGATGAGAACGAGAAGCAAGACCGCGCTATCCCCCCACGAGGGTTCCGAAACGAGCTGTAGAAGGCTCCCTACCTGAGATCGGCCAACGTGACGACGAGCGGATAGATGTTGTCCTTGTAGTAGGTCTTCAAGCAGTGGTCACAGCAGTCAGTCGAAAGTCGCATTCGCTTTCAAGCTCGGATCCCCATTGAGGCAGAGCGAAAAACAAATGCGTCTTGATAACTGAGTATCAAAGCGAACTGATCTTGGGTCCATTTTGCCCCCCCGCTGTCCCATGTAAATCGCACCCGTTACGCATGCTGCAGCGCCCATTAGAACCACTCAAGTTTCTCGAGCCTTAGGCCGTCTCGTGAAAGCTCTCGAGAACGACTCTTGCAAACGGACCCTCGGGGTGTCGGAACGAGCACTGTTCAGATTGTTGCAAGAGCGTGCAGCGTGGCAAGCTTTGGACGGGTGACGCCACATTCCGAAGGGCTCTCACATTTGCTTTGACACCTTTGGCAAACGAGAGGTTAGCTCACAGACCCCCTGGCAGCTTCTAAAGCGAATAACGGTCTGAATAGCGGCAAAGCCGGGCACTTATGACGCCGCGCACCGTCACAGCTCACCAGATCGGCGCCGACAATGACGTCATACGTCGGTCGTATCCCCGCCTCTTCAAGTTCGTCTCGACTGCTCCCCCATCGCAGCTGCGCCAAGTAGGTCGACAAGTCGGATCCGAAAGCTGCCTCGTTGGCTTCGAAGTTCTTGGCAGCCAGTTCCAGCACCCTGCAAAATGGAGACACCGTCGGAAACTCAGTTGGCAGGCACCCTTTGGCGTCTCTTTCGCAGTGTCAGCTTCGGGGCCAGGTTGCATGTGGGTTTTAAGCGAAAGTTTCACAAGGGCGGCTACGCCCTCGCCTCATTCTTCAAAAGACTTGCCAAAGTGCATTAAGGTAGAAGTCCACTGTTGCAATCAACGGGGCAATCATCTGACTGACATCAATAGATATGCTGAGATCAGGTTTGCCCTCAGCAAAGAACGGCAGCGAGCTTCACTTGCCGGCTCCAAGAGCGACTATACGAAAGGAGGTGGCTTTACTGGGTGCTTCAAAATCGTACAATCGTACAGCCCAATTGATGCTGCGTCTCCAAAAAATATACAAATCCCCGACTAGCTTTTTGGTTCCCGGAAGATCCTTCCTGCTTTTGGCATCGACTCCTGAGAAGTCGCAGCTTTCACTATAATCCTACCATAAGTGCCCTTAAAGACCACAGAGACCGCATTCTTTTCAGAGAGGGACTCGCGTCAGAAATTTCCGACGGGCACCTTTCGAAGTGGGCAGCATAACGGCGGCCGGACATACATGCCAATAGCGGAGTGCGGCACCTTCACTTATGTAAACAATCTCCTTGACCATACAAAAGCTATCTTTAAAGATACTGCGAGACCTATGAATTCAGGAATCGTTGAAATATCGAGAGGCTGAAATGGTATCAATGATAAAAACACTAAGGATAGTGCTTAATGGAAAAGAGCCCACCGCGAATAGTTCTGAATCCAGTGGCGAGAGCGGCTAAAGACAGTCTGGTTCTCAAGATCGTCTTAAGGTCAGTCTCAACTGATCTGTAATCCGCGCAACGACAGCCGAGAAGAAAGGAGGTTAGGAACGGGAACCAGAAGCAGGTACCTAGAGAAACAAGCACCTGTCGTCCCCATCGGTCGCAGTCACGTCTGCAGCACCCAGCATGGCGGCGGTGATGGCGGCGAAACCCGTGCCCGTGCCTAGTTCGATCACCCGTTTCCGCTTCCAGTACGACGGCGTGAGCGTCTCCATATACCTGCAAACGTGGCCAGAAGCAGGTTGCAAATGAGAGTGGGTTTTCCTCGACCAAAATTTGCGCAAAGGTCCGACCTGTGCCACTTGACGTTCCGTCACGTAAGAGATAGAGCGGGAGTTGAACGGCATAAACCTTCCCTACGAAGCAGAATTCGGCAGGGGAGTTCCGATTGAACCGTTGAAGTCGCATGTCCTCAAGATCAGGCTCCGAGCTCTTTGGCCAAGAAAAGTCAACGGAGAGCGGCTAAAGACGTACCTAGTCAGTACTAGATTGGCTTCCCATACGGCAGCGCCTGTGGAGCGGCTCCCTTTCTGGCCAAACCTCTGTGTGAAGAAATGAGCGTGTTACTAGCAACCCCCTAGCAAGTAAAGTAGCACATTTCAACGCCTTGCTTCATTGATACTTCCGACCTGCGTTTTTATCTCTTCCCTTGGAGGGTGAGGAAGGATAATGTGATTTTTGTGATTCGATGCTTTTGCTGTCAAAATGGTGAGCATATAACTGCAGAAATTGAGGGCCGCAATAAATGTCGTAACTTGTTTTTGTTCACCAATAACAGGAACTCTGGTCAGCCGAGAGTTGAGAGATGAGCGGGCCACAAGAGAAGCTATCAGCAGAGGGAAGTAGCTGTGAACACCCTTTGTCACAGAGATTCGGAGCCAGACAAGTCTCAGAAGTTGCACCCGTCGCCGCTTGTACTTTCTTGCTTTTTGAGGGGTTTACAACAGACTGTTACTGTACCTCGCTCACAGCCTTGTTTGCTTAGATTCTCTTTCCCTCTACCGATTCGAAATGAGAGACCAGACTGTCTTTGAAAAGAGCGAACCTTCCCAATTTCAAAGCTTACCTGCTCTATATAGATCTCTCGTCCAGCGCGGTAGAAGAGCCGCTGATTGGCAAAGATGCACCCTGACTCATCGGTACTGAAGCGGCCATCACTGCAGAGGGCTGCTCTGCAGAGGGGAGCATATCAATCAAGTCGCAAATCCAAGCCACCACAGGATTCTGCTCCATCCTGTTTACGACCGTTGTCTTCCAAGTCACACGAAAAAGCTTGGGATGAAAATAGCCAGTGATGGCTCCATGTATAGCAGGCTTGGATTTGTTGACAATTCCTGGAGTTTTTTTTGTGCAATGAAGTTGAATGAGTGCAACAATTTATTGCGTACTGTGTGGCTCAGTCATTGGTACAGCCCAGAGACTCATGCTTGTGTTGTATAACTGCGCAGGGTGGTATTTGAGACAGACGCTGGAACCCCTTGAAGCTCGAGCTTCTCTTCTGAAAGTTGCACCCTTGAGATTCACAAGGAAAGCACACTCTGAACCCGGATGGCGTCAGGTCAACGTTGGCACTGAGAAAACAAAAGATGGTGAAAGAGAAGGTGACAATAGCTGCAGACAAGCTTGAAATCTTGGTAATCGGCAGCTATGAGTCTGACTCTCCGTGAAAGCTTGCAAGCTGGTGGCCAGACTTCATGTTGAACGATGTCTGTAAGGCACAACTATCACTCTCCTCAAGAGGATTGAACAACAGGACTTGCTTGACTGATAGGGTGACCTTGTGCTAGACATGGAATCGAATTCGTGCAGAAAGGCCCTTGTTGGCGTTGAATGTGTTCACGTTTGTTTCATGGCCTTCTTACGATTGCAAACAGCTTGAAAATGACTCACAGGATGCCATTACTTTACATGTACAAACTTCCTCACATAAAGCAAGGCTCCACAATAGCCCCATTCACTTTTACTGCTAGAATTCTGGTTGAATCCACCGACATGAATGTTAGTACCAAGTCAATATGTGGTTGAAATATGGCTACTGCAACCACACCACCATTTCATCAGTGCCAATTCTCACCGAGGATCAAAAATGAACGGGCCAGCAATAGCTTTTCCAGCTTCCCCTACAGCTCCCAGCCCCAGTAATGACAGCATTCCCCTTCTGGCAACGCGTCGTTCTGAATGCTGACACCCGTTAACCAACAGGGCTGGGGAATTACTGCCAGACTTGGCACAGGTTGTCGTGGACAGATGGCTGTCTTTTGAGGAATGAAGAAGCGGGGTGGATTCAATAGCTGGTGGTAGCTCAAGAGCATTTGCCGAGTCTACTTGTTGTGGCAATTCCAACTCTGCAACCACTTGGTTGCCAACTGCTGAGATCTCCGTGGGCTTTCTTGCAGGGGCTGTTCGGCTTCGCCCTTTCTGCAGCCGATCCTCCACTACATCCTTCTCTCTATTGATGGTCCCATACGGTGCAAGAAAAGACGGAAAGCTTTGGAAGGGGGAAAACCATGTGTGTGGCCAAGCGCTAGTTGAACCAATGTGCAGGCCAGCGCTTGAGCAAAAAGTGCTGCTTGCTGTAGGAATAAAGGCTGCAATAGCCATGGATGGCTGCTCATACGGCCAACGAGGGCCCCGTAAGAAGGCGGCTGCCAGAGCGGACAGTGGATTCAAGCTCTGAAGCCCAATTTGTCTTGCTTGAACTTGAACTTGAAGTTGAAGTTGCTTTCTTTGCTTCTTGCGGATCTTGCACGCTTCTTCACAGCTCACACCGAGTCCGCAACATTTTGGCATTGATTTTTCGCATTCGGAAAATTGGAGTAATAATAGCCCTTGGTTTATGTATCAGCGTATAATTTCAACTTTTCCTCGATTTCCTCGATGTGAGTTCCAGAAAACGCCGATCGTCGCCACAAGAACCTCCGCAAGTAGAAGCCGCTTTCTACTGCAGAATTTTGATGAAATGTCTGTACCACATCGTCATATTGGGACCTGAAATTAAATGCACCCAAAGTTTGACAGAGGTCAAAAAAGCAGTAGAGGCGCGCGTGCCGCTTGTTTTCAAGCAGGCGCGGCCGCTGCTCGGATGAGGTGCCACAGCCGACCCACTCAGAATCGGTATACCGACTCAGAATTCAACATCTAATAGGTACGACGTAGCCAGAAAGCTGATTTGGAAATACCGTACTGCTATTTGATTTCGGCACCTTCGACGCCGAAAAGTTAATTATGAAACGTTTTATCCTTCCGGCAGACCTAGTGTTACCTGCTAAAAAGTACCATTATCGACCATTACATATGTATCGCTCCAAAATATTTTCCAGCGGAATTTTGCGCTGGGGTCTGCCACAATCTTGAGGGAGTAGGCCCAGGTGTATTGAACTAGAAAAGCCACCGGATCACC